GTGGATATCACTGATGCAACAAGCTTTAGGTTCCGAGTCTAAGTTAGTTGCACCAACTCAAAGATGTTCTGTTTTGTTTCATGGTTTTGAACATGGTTTTTCTATAGGAACAAGCATCAGACTGGAAGCTTTTGGGTGGTGTCTTGATGAATTAAGCTCCCCGAGGGTTTCATCTTGCGAAGAAGAGAGAAACAACTACCCCCAACCTTCAGCACTCTTGACATTTCCAGATGCCTTGCAACTCGAATCTCTTGGGCAGAACGCACTGGTGCTCTTGAGGGGGGTGCCTGGATCAAATCAAACTGATGGGAAACATTCGCGTGCCAGCTGAGCGCCATGCCCAGAATTTCAAGAAACGATTCATGAAAGTAACAAACACGTTAACAAGCTATTAATGCATAATTTGGACGGGAACCTGTTGGCCGGATATCTGGCTCGAATAAAAACAATTATTGGCAAGGTCACAGGTTCGAACCCACAGCCAGAGACCCAATTAAATTTTACTTCGCTTGCGGGTCTTTATGGAATTCGCTGGAGTGCTTGAGCAGCAGCAGCAGCCACGATGATCATGGTCAGTGTGTCGATCTAGCCCAGACTCTTCCTTTTGCTTTAAAGTCATGCTGGAACGCGTCTCAGCATTGCTCGCTTGAACGCCAACAGGTTTGGACGAGGAGAGGAGCTTAAACTTGCAGCCCGCGTGACTCGCAATGCAGCCTTGTCTACGAAGGTATCATTGCATTTCAGCTAGAGGGGGTGTCCAAGTTTGAATCCACCACTAGCTCCTCCTACATGCTTCGTCAAAATAGCGAATGGCCGAGGACTACTGACAACCTGGATAACGATACGCTGCTCCACACTTTCGAGCAGCGTTTGACTGCCGCGCTTGTGCCAATCTCATGTAAGAAAGAGTGGAGCTGAGCGAGAGCGTAGCCTTTCTTCTCTCTAGTTTCTCGCAGTGGCTTGACGTGGGTCCTTGCAGATCATTGTGTTGTATCATTCCACCGCTTGTCATGCTTCTTCTTTGCTCTCACCTGACGCTCGATCAAGGCTCTCACAGGCTGCAGTGAATAACAAAGGAATCACTGGTGCATCAACCCTCAGGTTCTGAGTCTAATCAGTTGCACCAAATCAGGGATGTGCCTCTCGTGTTTTTGGGAGTGAGTATTTAATTTCATGGTCTTGAACATGGCCAGAGGATTTGATCTTGCAAAGAAGAGAGAAACAAATAAATACCCCAACCTCCAGCACTCTTAACATTTCCAGATGCCTCTCAACTCTGCTCTTCAAGAGGGTGGTTGGATCAAATCAAACTTGCTCATTTTCCAGAAACTTTTCTTTTTCTGAGAAACAAATTTTGCTCCAAAAAAAATCCTGGAACCAAGAAGAGAGGCTTGGAAACGTTCGCGCGACCTTGCCCACGTGATTGATACGGAACAAGAAATCAGCACGCGTGCCATTCACTCAAAATCAAGAACAAGCGAAACACTTTAACAGGCTATTAATGTTTAATTTGGACGGGAACCTGTTGGCCGGATATCTGGCTAGAATAAAGAAATTTATTGGCAAGGTCACAGGTTCGAATCCACAGCCAGAGACCCAATCAAAAAATTTTGCAACGCTTCTCCCTCCTTTGCATCTTGCAAGCTACTGTGATCAGAGCGAGGTCTTCTGCCTGCAGTCATCTCGGGATGAGAACTACTTGTCGTCCATAGCCCAAGACTACAGCATGTCCACGATCATGGAAAACTTAAGATGCTTGGTGGATCTGCTGGGGAGATCTGGGAAGCTGGACAAGGCCAGTGTCGAGCCAAATTTCAGCGCTGGAGAATGAAAGAGTGGGGAAAAGTCCGATGCTAGTTCGACCTGTCCTCTGGGCTGGAGATCATGACTCACAGCCATTCGAAGGTTGTGGATTCGAACCTGTGACTTTGCCAAACGCACAAATTATCCAATTCTGACATTGGGAGGTACTGACAATAAATAATAATACTGGGCTTTCAAAATTTGGTAATTGGAATGAGTACAATATAAATCTCTTAAGGAAGATTCATTAGAGGGCAAGTCTAGTGCCAATAGCTATAGTAATTCTAATTCTAATAACATGTTATTATAGTTAAAAAGCTCATTTGGATCTCAGGACAAGATGAATGGTTTCCCTATATGCACTAGTCACCCCATTCTATGAGTCAATGATGCTAATTTGATCTTTACTGGCTAATGTGGAGTCGACAATGTTATTTTGAAAAAATTAAAGTACCCAAAACAGACTCATACTCTAAATACATTAGTATGGAGTAATGTAATAGGACTCTGATCCTGTTGTGTTGGTCTCCAAGATATGAGTAATGATTAGTAGGGACAATTGGGGGCATTTGTACTCTATTGTTAGAGATGAAATTCTTAAGCATTTGCTGAGGATGCTTTTATTAATCAAGAATGAAAGTTAGGAGCTCAAATACGATTAAATACCATTTTAGTCTTAACCATAGATGATGATGATTAGGGATTGGCAGATGTTATTTGGATAACAACGCCATCACCTCATGAAAAATCAAAGTCTTTGAGTTCCAAGAGGAGTATAGTTGCAAAGCTAAAACTTAAAGGAATTGATGGAAGGGTATTATTTGGAGTGAAGCTTATGGTTGGATGAAGAAACTTACTAAGTTTAGACATAGTAAAAATTAATACATTAAGAGCTCTTTCTTGATTCTATAGGTGGTAATTTCTTAGTTGGTGAAGTGATTTGTTTGGTTAATTTTATTAATAAACAAGACCTCAACCTAGTAACTAGTGTTTTTTCCAAACTAGCTTCTTAGAGAGGCTATTTACTTTTGGTGGATAGAAGTTTGAAGCAATAATAGATTTGTGATGCCCTTAGATGTTTTGGGCTGCACATGCACTACATTGATGAACTCAACAAGTGTATGCCTATGTCAATATTAAAACCTTGACATTAACATTGGTAGAGTTGATATTAGAGTGAAATGAGATATTTCTTCATAAGTATAATGCCAAAGATAAATTTTTGATCTATAATTAGTCAGATAGTTAGTGATTAATTAAGCCTCATTGGAAATTGATAATTTGCTTCACTAGTTTTGACAAAGATAATATTGGTGATTTGGTTGTAACTTTATGTTGTTAATATTCATGCATTTGCTAGTTAGCAATTATACTGGCATTCAATAAATTGAGTGGTAAGTTGGGTTAGCTATATTATAGATGAAATTTTTTAGTAGGGTTGAGTTTTGGCTTTTCTTTGAAAAGTGACTTAATTAGTTAGTTTTGTAAAATGAAGAATTAGTGATTAATACTTAAATTGTTAGATCCTTGTTGGTTTGAGTTTGAAATTATTGATTATTGATGATTCTCATTGCACTTGTTATAAAGTGTGTTACATGTTAAAATTTATAAAAGATGGTTTGGTGATCACTTGTCGAGCATGGCTTTTAAATTAATATAGATATACTCTTTATTAACTTTTGCATTATGAAGTTTTAGCCTGTGAATTTGCTAAGGTGGAAATTATAGGTTATATCATGATTTCTTTTTAAACATTGAAATTAGTCAGTATGAAATTTATGATTGTTATTATATAGGATTTAGTTATAAACTTCTTTGAGCTTTTAGTTCTTGATAATCTGGGATAGTTAATTATCCTTATTAAATATTATAATTAATTATTATTGCTAATAATTATATGCCATTCTATTCTATTTGGCAATGATTATCAATAATATAACTTATTTAAGTTAATACATTTCTCACAAAATATGAATATCATAAATTTTTTTCTAGAGTTGTTTCTTTAGCAATGGTCTCAAGTGTGCATCAACAAGAATGTCAATCTTTTTAAAGGGGGGAGAACATATCATAAATAGTATCAAAAGTTGTCTATTAGTAAAACTTTTTGAATATTTTTTTCTTTTTTTCTTTTTTTATGGCAGAAAGGTTAGTATTGTTAGACTTTTTATCAATCTCCACATAAGCTAGTTAAGAAATTAATTAATATATATGCATTTAGACCAAAAAGGCACTAAAGAAAGAAATCCTAGCTGTGATTGAGAATAGGTCATCATTGTCTCGCCATATCCAAGTCGACATCTGATAATCTATCACCTATTGAATATATTGAGAGACTAAGCTCAATATTGCAAGGGTTTTCAACATTAGCAAATGCAAATTAACAATATAAATTTTTCATCACCAATGTCCAATATGCTATAAACAAAGTTGGAATGCCTTCAGAAGTGACTGGAAAGGGGGGTCTGCTGCACCGACAAGATACATAACGATCATAATCCTTAAATGCAAGGAGGTTTGTTACAGCTACCAAGTCTCTCCAGGTGGGTTTGTCCTTTATGACAAAGTGAACCTACAATTATGAACACAGAATAACAAAGGCATGTCTAATCCGCAGCTTACTTCAATGGACACTTTAGCACTTTTGAGTGCCTTTGGTATGCTTTCTACAGCAATCCTTGCCGCTTTATCCAGAGGAAACCTGAAACACAATGCGAACTCAGTATACAAGAGGTAAGGTGTGAGTACAAACCCACCATAGCCGCACAAGATAGCTGGGAACGCTATGTGCTTAACGCCCTCCTTGCAAGCAAGTGTTATAGCGTTCCTGTAATAGACAAAGCACAATGTATCAAATTTGCTACACACTCTTGTAAGTGAGACCAAGATATTCAGCAGCTTCCGTGTCCCTGTCTTTGTAGAATTTTGGGCCTTGCATAACAATGATTTTAGGTGCTGGCAGTCCTCCTGAAGGGCTGAGAAACAAGTCCGTTAAAAGTTTTAAAAGGAAATGAGGAAAGACAGTTACGAAAGGAACCAGTAGCAAACCACAAACCAGTAGCAATACATATTTCTGAAAAGAGAAAAGCGCATGTCAAATGCCAAACACCCCTTTGCTTTACCTATCCTAAGTTATAATTTAGCAATATTGAGCTCAGTCTCTCAATATATTCAATAGGTGAGATATTGACTTGCAAGACAACAATGACCTAGAATATTCTCAATCACGGCTAAAAAAAGTTGGAATGCCTTCAGAAGTGACTGGAAAGGGAGGTCTGTTGCACCGACAAGATACGTAACGATCATAATCCTTAAATGCAAGGAGGTCTGTTGCAGCTACCCAGTCTCTCCAGGTGGGTTCGTCCTTTATGACAAAGTGAACCTACAATTTTGAACACAGAATAACAAAGGCATGTCTAATCCAGGGAAGCTTACCTCAATGGACACTTTAGCAATTTTGAGTGCCTTTTGTACGCTTTCTACAGCAATCCTTGCCGCTTTATCCAGAGGAAACCTGAAACACAATGCGAACTCAGTATACAAGAGGTAAGGTGTGAGTACAAACCCGCCATATCTGCACAAGATAGCTGGGAACGCTATGTGCTTAATGCCCTCCTTGCAAGCAAATGTTATAGCGTTCCTGTAATAGACAAAGCACAATGTATCAAATTTTGCTACACACTCTGGCATACCTGTAAGTGAGACCAAGATACTCAGCAGCTTCCATGTCCCTGTCTTTGTAGTATTTTGGGCCTTGAATAACAATGATTTTAGGAGCTGGCAGTCCTCCTGAAGGGCTGAGAAACAAGTCCGTTAAAAGTTTTAAAAGGAAATGAGGAAAGACAGTTACATGATATCCAAGCCAGTAAAGGAACCAGTAGCAATACATATTTCTGAAAAGAGAAAAGCTCATGTCAAATGCCAAACACCCCTTTGCTTTACCTCTGTGTATCTGACCTCCAACAGGAACTACAATAGCGTCATTCTTTCCGTCTACAAACCACTCTTTTATGTCCCCGTTTTTAATCACGAACTTGCAAGAGCCGACTTTACAAACAAGCTTGAGGTCCTTTTCCTGATCAAAAGCCACTAAATCTCAAACCACAAACTCGGATAAACAAACAAAACGAGAGGTAGATTTGAACCTTGAGGTCCATCACTCTTATGCAGGGGTCCCTAAGAGGTCCGGGCTTGCAAGAGGTAAAGGGTTCGGGTACTTGAGGGTTCCCATTGACTGAAAACAGAAACAAGGTTATATAGCTATAATTGATGTACTGTACGTACCTAGGGGAAGGAAACCATCGGGTCTAACATCATATAACTCCGTCGCTTGTTCGTCTTCAGACTCATCCGGGTCTTCAGGCACATCTTCATCTTCAGACTCAGATTCGTCCGCAGGCTCGGGATTTATATCGACTGGGTTTTCCTCTATGTCCTCTGCGGCGCTGTGTAGCTGTCCACTCACCTCTTGAGTCACTCCATTGGCCACTTTCTGTCGCAGCAGCTCTCCAACAGGAACTACTGCGAATGTCCTGCAATCATCAGACCCTACATCGGCAATCTGGCGGCAAGCTTCCTCGAGGCCCTGTACTAGTTCGCCCATTACAATCTCGTTTGCGGATCAGAAGCATACAATACTCACAAGTGCGTCGATCCGAGTGGTGAAAACGCTTGTAAAATCGCTATCCATGTGATAATTTAGGTGTCTCGACGCAACGATTAGGTAAGTGTCTGCCGTAGTCAGCCGCTCCTGTGTGCACACACTTTCAGAATAACAAATTTCAACAAAAGAGTAAGTACCTTGTGGTAATAAAAAGGTAGACTGCTACTTTGCGGGGGGCTAGCATTTTTGAGACGGTAGAGAGAACTTGGACGGGTTAGCTTTTCGTCCTTCCCACTTCGGCACAGTATCACCAACGCAAGGGCCTGGCCAAATACATACACATGCGCGTCTCCAAGCACCACCACCAAGGACCTGTTTTGCGCACACCAATCCTATAAAACCAAAGTAAACATTCACAGAAACAGCAATAATCCATCTGACAAGAAGAGAGATTACCACATACCCGGCAATCTGATGATCCTACCAGAGCCCGCAGCTCTTCATTCATCCTGCAAAAGAACCACCGATATTTTTTTGAAAAGTACAATGCACATACTCTTACTTTGTGAATGCGAGCTCCAGAGCTCGTGGAGTACCGAATGTTGACAGCTCCAGAGATGCTCGAATGTGATCCATGAGTCGAGATCGGCGTAACTTGAGAAGTTCGAGATGTACAGAATAGAGGTGCACATCTCTTACGTCCGGATAAGCTGCATGGAAAATTAGCACAACTCGCTCCTGCACTCTCCCTAGCTCTGGCAAGCACACGATACGTGCAGTCGCATCCTGGGGCGGCTCGACTATCACTGCCTCCATCGCCACAGCACAGCCCTAAGCCCTATAGCCTTTTTACGTTAGAGTTATATTGAGTTTGCTTGCTTAATCCTTCGCCTTTGCGCAAAGGAGAGCTCCATTTCCCTGTTCTAAGCTCTGGAGCTCGTTTTATTGGGAAAAAGATATTCTAGCTCTGAAAGTTTCTACTTACGAGCCAATGATGCGAGTGGCATGGAGAAATCCTTGTGGATCGCATCTACTGGCGAGCTAGAAGAAGAAGAGCAACAAAAACTTGTTCAAGGCTCTTTCTAATCCAAAAAGGCATGAAGCCCAGCTGTAAAGGTGAGTTCACCTTTTTCTCGTTTCTCTATATAAACGGGCTTTCCGTAATAGGTTCTCTCGTGAAGGTTTTGGCGAGATGAAGACGTCGTCGAAGATTTTAGTGTTCTTGTTTGCGATCTTGGCTCTCTGCGCGTGCGTGTATGGGAGGTCAGTTCCTCAGCTGCGGACTATCTACATGGGAGACTCAATCTTTGATGTTGGAACTAACAAGTACGTGAAGAACTCTGTTTCTCGTTGTGATTTTGTGCCGTATGGGAAGACAAGGTATAACCAGCCATCAGGAAGGTGTAGCGATGGGTTTCTAATTCCAGATCTGATAAACAAAGTGATCGGTTTGCCCTTTTCAAAACCATTCTTGGGCTTGAAAGGTGGGAGCCAACTTCCACTAAGCATCAACTTTGCGTCAGACGGTAGTGGACTGCTTGATTCTACTCACTCCGACTGGGGTGTCGTGTCGTTTAATGAGCAGCTAAAACAACTTGGACAGCTAGCCAACAAGATCCCCATGATGAATCTCAATGACTTTGTGGTTGTGATATCTTCGGGTGGCAATGACATTGCGGCAAATCTTCAAAACCTTGCTAATGTAGACTTGGAAGCAATGCTAGTGTTATTGGAGAAAGGCTTGGAGCAACTTTATAAATATGGATTCAGGAAGATTGTCTACTCTAGCCTTGGGCCGTTAGGCTGTGTGCCTATTGTCACGTCGGATGGAAATTGTGTGAGAGAGATCAACGATTTAGTAGAACAATTCAATTGGCAAGCTCGGGCGATTGTTTTGGGGGTGGCAAAGAAATTCCCAGGGATGAGAGGTGCATTTGTTGACGGCTATTCACTGATCAAATCGTACGTGGAGAACCCAAATAAGTTTGGATTCCAGAATGGAGGGGGTTGTTGCCCCAATTGCCTATCACACAAAAATACCTTGAGCGGGCTGTGCAGGAATCCAAGTGATTATGTTTTCTGGGATTTAATTCACCCAACAGAGCACACGTACACACTAGTGACGAAAGAATTCATGAAACAAATCAAGAAAATCTTGTAACTTCACAGAGCATTCTCATTCACAGAGCTTGCAACCAGGCAGAAGAAAGCTGCCGAATGGAAGCAACGTATCCATCCTTCGCCTGTTCTTCATTGCGAGCTGGCATTTGTGAGGCATCAGCAGTTTCTTTCTACTTCGACATGGAGCAACATGCCCCTCCAGCTATGACCAGCTCTAGGCCTTGCTCTACCACAGTTGCTCCCACCAGCGAGGCCATATTTAATAGATGGTGTTTTAGGTGAAATTAAAAAGTTAAAGAAAAGGAATATTAAAAGTAAAAAAAAAAAATCCGCCTTAAAATTAACTTTGCTCCAACCTTTATGAGTTAATAGTTACTATCGCATTTACTTTAATGAGTTTCTTTATTTAACCATGCATTTTTCGTTAGCTTAGATTTAAACAATTCACAGCCATCGGATCAGCTAATCTGACGGTTAGGATGCTGTGTAAATATATCTAAAGGCTAGTGTTTAGGGTAAGTTTTGAGGGGGCTGGTTTTGCTGTTGGCGGCGGCGCTGGGGGGAGGAGGCGTTATGTTTTTCTCAAACCATCAAAATGCACACTGGTGGGGTGCCCATTCTCAACGTGGCTACTCAGTATTCGTTTTGGGCTGTCGCTACTGTTTTGCACAGTACGTTGAGGCGGCCAAAGCGAGAGGAAGTCGGGGAATCGAAGCCCCCGGCTGCCCCACACTTAGATGTAGGATTTTCGATTGTGTGAAACTACTAACAAGCAGGATCGAAGACCAGCTACCCAGCCCTCTCTTGGGGATTTCCTCTTTGAGGAGAACCCCTCCAAAACAAAAAACGGAGAAGAAGCATTCCTGTCGTTTTTTCTTATTCGAAACAGTGTTTGCCTTGTTGCTTGACAAGGATTAGGGCCCCCTCTGTTCCGCTCCATCCCCAAGTCTTCACAATGAAAATTAAGCTGGGGAAAAATTGTCATGCAGGAACATGATCAAGAACTCGTCGTGTGCAAGGCCTCCCTGCAAGCTTGATAAACAACAAAGAACAGGGAACTGCAAACCATAAGAACACTTCATACTCGCGAACTTCAGTTTCTTCCGATTGCTCATGACCCCCAAAGGAGCGTTTCTCTTTGGATCTAGCTAGGGTAGGGAGCGGCAGGGACAGGATCACCGGCATTTCATCGAGCTTGTAGCTGATCTTGATCATACCTTGGACGGCCATGAATTTCTGGTATCATACCCCTCTCTTAGCACTGCTTATTAGATCAGTGCACTTCTTCTTGCATGACTTTCCTTGTCCTGCCTGAGATGAATGCGTCTGATTTTCGATTTTCAGATAATTTCCTAGCAGCGTCTACCTGGAAGAGCTCCCAAACGCATACTGTCCGATATGTGCTAGCTGGTGGTGGTGAGAGCGTACCATGTTAATTAGATTTAACTAGTATCAACAAATATCTGTGGATTGGATTTCAGGCATTACAACAGACTAGGATAAAACTTCTTCCTTAGAAAAGAAAAATGTGAGAGAAAGACACTGACACTAGAGGTACTTTGAGCTCTATCTAGTATATTTTCTAATTGTAAATCATTTTATTGTCGATTTTCTATCGAATCAATATATCTAGACTTCATACAGGTAACACTTGCTTTATCTTTCTTGCTTTTCCAACGTTGGTTTCAGTTTGATATTTTAGTGTCAATCTTCATTCCGGAAAGTTTTCTTCTAATTCTCAAGCTGCTTTGACAAGTTCCTCCAGAGGCAAGATGCTTTTTACTTAAGTTCTTTCAAAGAGTTTCTATCGATCTTATACTCTGCATGGCTGTGGCCTTGCAGTGTCTGCTTCAGCCAAGGTAGCGTTTGGGGACATGCCAAGGACGTGATCCTCCCAGTAAGGCGCAAGTGGAGCTTCACATATATTTATATCATGCAACTCAAATTAACCAGGTAACTCTCAGAGTCAAGAGACAAACCGGTTCTCAACACTTAATACTTTGACCAGTCCAGAAATAGGCGTGATCGAGGTCGCTACTTTCTCATGCTCCTTGTCGCAATTCTTTTGAGCCAGGGTCCTGGAGATACAAAGTCAAGCTCTACAAAGCAAGTATGAAGAGAGACACACGCCTTTACTTGGCTCATTCTGATGTCTGTATTATTATCATATATATGATGTGGAAGTTTTAAAATTGTTTAAAGTTTGCAAAAATGTGAAGTATAAATTTTTTTTATAAAAATAAAAAACTATTAATAAAAAATAAATATAAAAATGTTTATAGCTAAAAAATGATAAGAAATTAATAAAAAAATTTAAAACTTCAAGTTGGTATAGTGTATATGTGTCAATTATAACTACATTTGCTATAATGCCCACAACAAAATTCTAATTTTTCTTTCTTAAGATCTTCATTACAAACTTTTTTTGTTTTTGGGTGTCCCAGAAGTTTATGAATTTTTTGTAGCAACATACCAAGCACTTCCAAATGTTTAATGTCAATAGGATAAAGTACACTCTCATGTGTTTTATGATAAGAATCAAGTAAGTAACATATGTTAGCATAGAGTTAAAAAAATGGTAGTAGTTGTGTGAGCACAAGGTAATCCAACTTTTTATCATCCAAAGCATGAGCAAGACTATGTTAGTATGTTAACCACACAAGTATGCTCTTGTGTCTATATTTCAAATATAGTAAGATCTAAGGGCATGAGAAACCTTATGAAATTGCATCATAAAGAGGTTTCATAATAGCTCAATTATTATTTTTGGATTGATGCTCAAGTAGAGGATAGCCAAGGTCAAGTCCAAGTCCAGCCAAAATGAGTAAAGGCTGTGTGCCTATGTTCTTATTGTGCATAAGCTTCACTCAGCTATTGAGGGCTTTGGCTACCCTTTGGCACTTGAAATATGAACCTTACAACTATGCCATCTTAGTTGATGCTGGTTATACATTGCCTTTACTGCATCTTTGGGTGCTAGGACATATGTGCTTTGCATTAACTACTTAGTTGATCTTATTAGTAGTCATATGCTTGTCTCAAAGATTAAGCCATGAATGTATAAATATAAATTTTTTTATATTGTGAAATTGTGAATGGCTTATTAAATCAATAATAGTTTATTTGATAGTACCTTACTACTCAGATAACTATAGCAATTCTATAACTAATATGTGTAAAGAGTCCTGACCTTCAAAAGGCATGCACTTACTAGATTCAAGACTAATGTGTACTCATTTATATTCTCAGTGGTTCATGATAACTTGTCAAATCATATGGTCCTCGTGTCAGTGATACTTAAATTAAATTTCTACCCTATCAACTTTTGATGGTAGGATATAATAGGGAATTAGGGTTTGATTTTGAGATACAGCTACCACATCTAGGGAAGGTAGCAAACGCACGAATTATCCAATTCTGACATTGGGAGGTACTGACAATAAATAATAATACTGAGCTTTCAAAATTTGGTAATTGGAATGAGTACAATATAAATCTCTTAAGGAAGATTCATTAGAGGGCAAGTCTAGTGCCAATAGCTATAGTAATTCTAATTCTAATAACATGTTATTATAGTTAAAAAGCTCATTTGGATCTCAGGACAAGATGAATGGTTTCCCTATATGCACTAGTCACCCCATTCTATGAGTCAATGATGCTACTTTGATCTTTACTGGCTAGGGTGTGGAGTCGACAATGTTATTTTGAAAAAATTAAAGTGCTCAAAACAGACTCATACTCTAAATACATTAGTATGGAATAATGTAATAGGACTCTAATCCTGTTGTGTTGGTCTCCAAGATATGAGTAATGATTAGTAGGGACAATTGGGGGCATTTGTACTCTATTGTTAGAGATGAAATTCTTAAGCATTTGCTGAGGATGCTTTTATTAATCAAGAATGAAAGTTAGGAGCTCAAATATGATTAAATACCATTTTAGTCTTAACCATAGATGATGATGATTAGGGATTGGCAGATGTTATTTGGATGACAACACCATCACCTCATGAAAAATCAAAGTCTTTGAGTTCCAAGAGGAGTATGGTTGCAAAGCTAAAACTTAAAGGAATTTATGGAAGGGTATTATTTGGAGTGAAGCTTGTGGTTTGATGAAGAAACTTACTAAGTTTAGACATAGTAAGAATTAATAGATTAAGAGCTCTTTCTTGATTCTATAGATTGTAATTTCTTAGTTGGTGAAGTGATTTTTTTGGTTAATTTTATTAACAAACAAGACCCCAACCTAGTAACTAGTGTTTTCTCCAACCTAGCTTCTTAGAGAGGCTATTTACTTTTGGTGGATAGAAGTTTGAAGCAATAATAGATTTGTGATGCCTTTAGATGTTTTGGGCTGCACATGCACTACATTGATGAACTCAACAAGTGCATGCCTATGTCAATGTTAAAACCTTGACATTAACATTGGTAGAGTTGATATTAGAGTGAAATGAGATATTTCTTCATCAATATATTGCAAAAGATAAATTTTTGATCTATAATTATTCAGATAGTTAGTAATTAATTAAGCCTCATTGGAAATTGATAATTTGCTTCATGAGTTTTGACAAAGATAATATTGGTGATTTGGTTATAGCTTTATGTTATTAATGTTCATGCATTTGCTAGTTAGCAATTATACTGACATTCAATAAATTGAGTGGTAAGTTAGTGTCAATGCAATGGCATAGTGAGTCCAAAGAAAATAGTCTCTATAATAGACCCATAGGAGGGTGTTAGCTATATTATAGATGAACTTTTTTAGTAGGGTTGAGTTTTGGCTTTTCTTTGAAAAGTGACTTAATTAGCTAGTTTTGCAAAATGAAGAATTAGTGATTAATACTAAACTTATTAGATCCTTGTTGGTTTAAGTTTGAAATTATTGATTATTGATAATTCTCATTACACTTGTTATAAAGTGTGTTACATATTAAAATTTATAAAAGATGGTTTGGTGATCACTTGTTGAGCATGGATTTTAAATTAACATAGATATACTCTTTATTAGCTTTTGCATTATGAAGTTTTGGCCTATGAATTTTCTAAGGTGGAAATTATAGGTTATATCATGATTTCTTTTTAAACATTGAAGTTAGTCAGTATGAAACTTATGATTGTTATTATATAGGATTTAGTTATAAACTTCTTTGAGCTTTTGGTTCTTGATCATCTGGGATAGTTGATTATCTTTATTAAATATTATATTTAATTATTATTGCTAATAATCATATGCCATTCTATTCTATTTGGTAATGATTATCAACAATATAACTTATTTAAGTTAATGCATTTCTCACAAAATATGAATATCATGAGTTTTTTCTAGAGTTGTTTCTTTGGCAGTGGTCTCAAGTGTGCATCAACAAGAATGTCAATCTTTTTAAAGGGGGGAGAACATATCATAAATAGTATCAAAAGTTGTCTATTAGTAAGACTTTTTGAATATTCTTCTTTTACTGTTATAATAGAAAAAAGGTTAGTATTGTTAGACTCTTTATCAATCTCCACCTGAGCTAATTAAGAAACTAATTATTATATATGCATTTAGACCAAAAGGGCACTAAAGAAAGAAATCATAAATTATAAATGAGAAATTTATATTGTTAATTTGCACTTGCTAATGTTGAAAACCCTTGCAATATTGAGCTTAATCTCTCAATATATTCAATAGGTGATAGATTATCAGATATCGTCTTGGATGTGGCAAGACAACAATGACCTAGAATATTCTCAATCACGGCTAAAAAAAGTTGGAATGCCTTCAGAAGTGACTGGAAAGGGAGGTCTGTTGCACCGACAAGATACGTAACGATCATAATCCTTAAATGCAAGGAGGTCTGTTGCAGCTACCCAGTCTCTCCAGGTGGGTTCGTCCTTTATGACAAAGTGAACCTACAATTTTGAACACAGAATAACAAAGGCATGTCTAATCCAGGGCAGCTTACCTCAATGGATGCTTTAGCACTTTTGAGTGCCTTTTGTACGCTTTCTACAGCAATCCTTGCCACTTTATCCAGAGGAAACCTGAAACACAATGCGAACTCAGTATACAATAGGTAAGGTGTGAGTACAAACCCGCCATATCTGCACAAGATAGCTGGGAACGCTATGTGCTTAACGCCCTCCTTGCAAGCAAGTGTTATAGCGTTCCTGTAATAGATAAAGCACAATGTATCAAATTTGCTACACACTCTGGCATACCTGTAAGTGAGACCAAGATACTCAGCAGCTTCCATGTCCCTGTCTTCGTAGTATTTTGGGCCTTGAATAACAATGATTTTAGGTGCTGGCAGTCCTCCTGAAGGGCTGAGAAACAAGTCCGTTAAAAGTTTTAAAAGGAAATGAGGAAAGACAGTTACATGATATCCAAGCCAGTAAAGGAACCAGTAGCAAACCACGAACCAGTAGCAATACATATTTCTGAAAAGAGAAAAGCTCATGTCAAATGCCAAACACCCTTTTGCTTTACCTCTGTGTATCTGACCTCCAACAGGAACTACAATAGCGTCATTCTTTCCGTCTACAAACCACTCTTTTATGTCCCCGTTTCTAATCACGAACTTGCAAGAGCCGACTTTACAAACAAGCTTGAGGTCCTTTTCCTGATCAAAAGCCACTAAATCTCAAACCACAAACTCAGATAAACAAACAAAACGAGAGGTAGATTTGAACCTTGAGGTCCATCACTCTTATGCAGGGGTCCCTGGGAGGTCCGGGCTTGCAAGAGGTAAAGGGTTCGGGTACTTGAGGGTTCCCATTGACTGAAAACAGAAACAAGGTTATATAGCTATAATTGATGTACTCTACGTACCTAGGGGAAGGAAACCATCGGGTCTCACATCATATAACTCCATCGCTTGTTCGTCTTCAGACTCATCCGGGTCTTCAGGCACATCTTCATCTTCAGACTCAGATTCGTCCGCAGGCTCGGGATTTAAATCGACTGGGTTTTCCTCTATGTCCTCTGCGGCGCTGTGTAGCTGTCCACTCACCTCTTGAGTCACTCCATTGGCCACTTTCTGTCGCAGCAGCTCTCCAACAGGAACTACTGCGAATGTCCTGCAATCATCAGACCCTACATCGGCAATCTGGCGGCAAGCTTCCTCGAGGCCCTGTACTAGTTCGCCCATTACAATCTCGTTTGCGGATCAGAAGCATACAATACTCACAAGTGCGTCGATCCGAGTGGTGAAAACGCTTGTAAAATCGCTATCCATGTGATAATTTAGGTGTCTCGACGCAACGATTAGGTAAGTGTCTGCCGTAGTCAGCCGCTCCTGTGTGCACACACTTTCAGAATAACAAATTTTCAACAAAAGAGTAAGTACCTTGTGGTAATAAAAAGGTAGAGTGCTACTTTGCGGGGGGCTAGCATTTTTGAGACGGTAGAGAGAACTTGGACGGGTTAGCTTTTCGTCCTTTCCACTTCGGCACAGTATCACCAACGCAAGGGCCTGGCCAAACACATACACATGTGCGTCTCCAAGCACCACCACCAAGGACCTGTTTTGCGCACACCAATCCTATAAAACCAAAGTAAACATTCACAGAAACAGCAATAATCCATCTGACAAGAAGAGAGATTACCACATACCCGGCAATCTGATGATCCTACCAGAGCCCGCAGCTCTTCATTCATCCTGCAAAAGAACCACCGATATTTTTTTGAAAAGTACAATGCACATACTCTTACTTTGTGAATGCGAGCTCCAGAGCTCGTGGAGTACCGAATGTTGACAGCTCCAGAGATGCTCGAATGTGATCCATGAGTCGAGATCGGCGTAACTTGAGAAGTTCGAGATGTACAGAATAGAGGTGCACATCTCTTACGTCCGGATAAGCTGCATGGAAAATTAGCACAACTCGCTCCTGCACTCTCCCTAGCTCTGGCAAGCACACGATACGTGCAGTCGCATCCTGGGGCGGCTCGACTATCACTGCCTCCATCGCCACAGCACAGCCCTAAGCCCTATAGCCTTTTTACGTTAGAGTTATATTGAGTTTGCTTGCTTAATCCTTCGCCTTTGCGCAAAGGAGAGCTCCATTTCCCTGTTCTAAGCTCTGGAGCTCGTTTTATTGGGAAAAAGATATTCTAGCTCTGAAAGTTTCTACTTACGAGCCAATGATGCGAGTGGCATGGAGAAATCCTTGTGGATCGCATCTACTGGCGAGCTAGAAGAAGAAGAGCAACAAAAACTTGTTCAAGGCTCTTTCTAATCCAAAAAGGCATGAAGCCCAGCTGTAAAGGTGAGCTCACCTTTTTCTCGTTTCTCTATATAAACGGGCTTTCCGTAATAGGTTCTCTCGTGAAGGTTTTGGCGAGATGAAGACGTCGTCGAAGATTTTAGTGTTCTTGTTTGCGATCTTGGCTCTCTGCGCGTGCGTGTATGGGAGGTCAGTTCCTCAGCTGCGGACTATCTACATGGGAGACTCAATCTTTGATGTTGGAACTAACAAGTACGTGAAGAACTCTGTTTCTCGTTGTGATTTTGTGCCGTATGGGAAGACAAGGTATAACCAGCCATCAGGAAGGTGTAGCGATGGGTTTCTAATTCCAGATCTGATAAACAAAGTGATCGGTTTGCCCTTTTCAAAACCATTCTTGGGCTTGAAAGGTGGGAGCCAACTTCCACTAAGCATCAACTTTGCGTCAGACGGTAGTGGATTCTACTCACTCAGACTGGGGTGTCGTGTCGTTTAATGAGCAGCTAAAACAACTTGGACAGCTAGCCAACAAGATCCCCATGATGAATCTCAATGACTTTGTGGTAGTGATATCTTCGGGTGGCAATGACATTGCGGCAAATCTTCAAAACCTTGCTAATGTGGACTTGGAAGCAATGCTAGTGTCATTGGAGAAAGGCTTGGAGCAACTTTATAAATATGGATTCAGGAAGATTGTCTACTCTAGCCTTGGGCCGTTAGGGTGTGTGCCTATTGTCACGTCGGATGGAAATTGTGTGAGAGAGATCAACGATTTAGTCGAACAATTCAATTGGCAAGCTCGGGCGATTGTTTTGGGGGTGGCAAAGAAATTCCCAGGGATGAGAGGTGCATTTGTTGACGGCTATTCACTGATCAAATCGTACGTGGAGAACCCAAATAAGTTTGGATTCCAGAATGGAGGGGGTTGTTGCCCCAATTGCCTATCACACAAAAATACCTTGAGCGGGCTGTGCAGGAATCCAAGTGATTATGTTTTCTGGGATTTAATTCACCCAACAGAGCACACGTACACACTAGTGACGAAAGAATTCATGAAACAAATCAAGAAAATCTTGTAACTTCACAGAGCATTCTCATTCACAGAGCTTGCAACCAGGCAGAAGAAAGCTGCCGAATGGAAGCACCGTATCCATCCTTCGCCTGTTCTTCATTGCGAGCTGGCATTTGTGAGGCATCAGCAGTTTCTTTCTACTTCGACATGGAGCAACATGCCCCTCCAGCTATGACCAGCTCTAGGCCTTGCTCTACCACAGTTTCTCCCACCAGCGAGGCCATATTTTTCTTTCGACGGTGTCATGTTGACGAAGGTGATGGATTTGATCGTCACAGCAATTCATCACAAACTACAGCAGCTTTCTAGTGGGACATTCAGCACTCATATCACATCCCCACACAACAGACTCACAGCAGCAGTGTGATCTCTTCGGCTGTATGCATGCCAAATAGTTTTCATCAGCATCACCACTTCCTACGACCACCAGACTTTGGTGAGCGGCTCAGAAGGTCTTCTACTCTTCCACAATCCCTCTGCTCGATGATTTGTGCTGACAACCTAATGGCTATTTATTCTCTCTCAAAGAGTCCTGCCATGCTTCTCTAGCAGCTCCATCTTAAGGAAATTGATTGAATAGTTCTGTTAATAATTCTTGTAATAAAAAAATGTCTTACATGCTCTCCCAATCCATGAGAATTTTTGAGTCAACCAGTGTCAACGAAAGCATGCTTCATGAGTTGACCAGCAAGAGGAAATTGGAGGAGGCCAAGGCTTTGTTCGATCAGATGCCACACCACAGCTTGATGCTGTGGAATATGGTTCTTACTGCTTATGCTCGATCAGGGTATCTCGAACAAGCAAGAATTTGCTTTGAGCAAATGCCGCAAAAAGACATTGCAATTTATAACTCAATGCTGACATCGTATGGTCGTGCTGATGAAGCTGCTAAAGCTAATCAACTGTTTGATAAAATGCCAGCGTGGGATTCTGTATCCTGGAACTCATTACTAGCAGCATATGCCTGCATTGGGGATGTAAGCAAGGCAAAACGAGTGTTTGATAAGATGCCAGAGAAAATTTTAGTGTCATGGAACACGCTTCTCACAGCTTACGTTCAAAACCAAAATGTTTCTGATGCAATCTTTATATTTCATGGAATTCCTGTCAGGGATTTGATCACTTGGAACGTAATGCTATCAGCGTATGCTCATGAAGGGCATATTCAAGATTGTTTTAAGGTATTTCAAGAGATGCCTGAGAGGGATCAGGTCAGCTGGAATTCGGTGCTGGGAGCAGTTTGCTCTAGCCCAGAACATATCAACCTAGCGCTACAAATTTTCCATCTCATCCCCAAGAGAACGCTCAGCTCCTACAACACACTACTCCACTGTCTGTGTGAAGCTGGTCTCGTTGTCAATGCAAGAGAGCTGTTTGATCGAATGCCCGAGCGAGATCTCCTCACTTGGAACACGATGATTGCCACAAACTCTGGAGATGGCTCGATCGATCAAGCAGAAAATGTCTTTAACCAGATGAAAGAGAGAAGCTTGGTGTCGTTTACGTGCATGATCAATCTCTACTCCCAAGCCGGGAATCTGGACATGGCCAAGAACATTTTCTTTACCGAGATGCCATACTGGGATTTAATCTCTTCCAGCGCAATGCTAACAGCGTTATCTCGTCACGGGGATTTGATCAAAGCCGAGTATTTGCTCGAAAAAATCCCGAGGCTTGATATGGTGCTCTTGACGACAATGATCGGACTATACGCGCAAAGTGGACAGATAGAGATATCCAAAACACTATTTATTTGCCCTTTTCTTTCAGACAAGGATGAAATTTTCTGGAATTCAATGCTAACAGCAATTGCCGTAAATGGGCAATTGCAGCAAACAGAGAGTTTCTTCCAGGTTATACCCAATAAGGGTGTTGTGACATGGACATCACTAATGACGTGTTATGCCATGCACGGGTACGTGGATAGGGCGAAAGCGATATTTGTTTTGATGCCCGAGCACGATGCAATTGCTACAAACACGATGCTCGCTGCAATTACCCTAACTGGGGATATTCCAAAATGCCTGGAGTTCTTTCACGCGATCCCGGCAAGGAGCTCCACCTCATGGAGCACTGTGATTGCTGCGCTTGCTAGGGCGGACGATACTTTCGATCGCGCCAGGGATCTCTTTGACAGGATGCCAGTAGCCTTCAAGCGACCATGGAGTGGGATGATGGGGGCTTGCTGCCGCAAGGGCGATTGGCGCGGCGTGATGGATCTCTTCTCGGAGATGAGCATGCTCGAATCGCCCGACGAGCTGTGCTTCGTGGCGCTCTTGATCGCTTGCAGCCAGCAAGGAGGACTGAGTGATGGGAGGGCGAAATTCGCGTCGATGGGCAGGGATTTTGGAATGGCGGCCACGAAGCAGCACTATAGCTGCTTGATCGATCTCCTGGGTCGCGCAGGATACCTCGGGTTTGCGAAGAATCTGATAGAGAGCATGCCATTCTTCGCCGATAGCTCGGATTGGCTGTGTCTTCTCGGATCCTGCATCAAATTCAAGGATTTCGGCATGGCGATCTACGCGGCACGGCAGATCCTCCACTTAGATCCACGAAATCCCAGAGCCTATGTGTTCTTGGCCAGCATTTGTAGTAGTCAAGAGCCCTAGCTCTTGTCCTAGGGTTCTTGAGAGAATGAATGAGATACTGCAATGCCGGCAGGGCCAGGCGCGGGATCGCTTGGATTTCCAGGTATTTTGGCGAGCCAAGCGATGGCGCTGGCCCGGCGGCAGAGTTTGTTGCGGCATTGAGGGCTTGCGGCGTCTTGAAAGATCTGGAACTCGGCAAGATCATCGCGGGCAAGGTCGGCAAGATAGACAAGTATGCCCAGACAGCGATCATCGATATGTATTCCAGGTGTGGAGAGATTGGAGAAGCTCGGAAGTCCTTTGACAGTCACATCCAGTGCCGCGATGCTGCTCCCTGGAACGCGATGATCCTGGGATACGTGAGGAACGATCGGAGCTCTCTGGCGCTGGAACTGTTTGCCAGGATGAGAGGATCGGCTTGCGAACCAGATGGTCGATCGTTTTTGGCTGGATTGGCGGCTTGTTCTAGCCTGGCAACGAAAGAACAGGGAGAGCTCATCGATGGAAAGCTCGTCAAGCTGGAGAGTTTGGCAAGAGGGATGGCTCTCTACTCTGACGCTGCGAAGAAGGGTTGTCACACAGAGATCTTCGTCGCGAACTCCATGCTGGATTTGTGTGGGAAATGCGGGTGCTTGGTGGACGCTCGCAAGATTTTCGACAGCATGGAGTGCCATGACGTGGTTTCGTGGACGTCTCTGCTCTTGGTCTACGTGGAGAACTGTGAAGAAGAAATCGCGCTCGAGTTGATCGAACTTATGGAAGGCAGTGGATGTTCGCCAAACTCTCGGACGTTAGTAGCCGGATTGATGGCTTGCTCGAGCTTGGCAGTGAAAGATCCGGGCAGGAAAGAAGGTGGCAGGCTTCTCAAAGTGAGGTGTTTGGAGAAAGGCAGGGATTTGCACCGTCGAGCAGTGGAAAGTGGCTGCGGGGGTGATGTTTTCGTGGCCAGCGCTCTCATCGACATGTACTCGAGGTGTGGAAGCTTGGAGGACGCCGAGAACGCCTTCGCAGCTATCACACCTTCTCGCGACCCGGTTCCGTGGAACGCACTGATCCACGGGTGTGTTCTCAACGGCAAGAGCGAGCTGGCTCTGGAGAAGTTCCAGCGGATGAAAGCCACTGGCTGCGCTCCAAACGATCGAACTTACGTTGCCGTGCTCACGGCTTGCTCGAGCTTGGCCGCTGCTTCCAAGGACGAAGAAGAAGATGGCCGAGCTTTCTCCAAGGCGAGATGCTTGGAGAAAGGACTGGCAATCCATGCCGAAGCTGCGAAGTCCCAGCTCGATTCAGACGCCTACGTCGCGAGCGCTCTGGTGGAGATGTACGCCAGGAGTGGAAGCATGGAGGACGCTCTTGCGGTTTTCCGGAAGATGGTGCCATGCCCGACGGTGGCAGCTTGGAACTCGATGATCCTGGGATATGTAGCAAGCGGGGAGAGCGATGTAGCTCTCAAGTTCTTCGCCAGCATGGACGAGCGGCCGGATTCACAGAGCTTCGTAGCAGCGATGATGGCAGTGTCGAGCTTAGCCGCGAGAGAAGAAGGGGACGATCATCGGAGAAGGAAGAGTTTCTGGCTCAAGGGAGGGATTGATCTTCACGATCGAGCAGCCGAGCAGGGGTATGATTCCGACGTCTATATTGCATGCACGCTGGTGGATATGTACTCCAAGTGTGGCAGCATGGATCGAGCTCGCAGAGTTTTTGACGAGAAGTGTGGAGCTGGGAATCCAAATCTCGATCTAGCGAGCGTGAGCGTGGTGGCCTTGAACGCGCTGCTGCTGGGCTATGCCGAGAATGAAGAACCCGAGCTGGCTCTGGAGATCTTTGAGCACTACGAAGAAACGTCCCAAGTTAACGAGAGAACATTTGTAGCGGCGATGGTGGCGTGCTCGAGCATGGTGGAATCGATAGAAGGGGTTCCCGACCGGCGAAAGCTTCTCGAGAGAGGGAGGAGGATCCACTCAAGAGCCAGGAGGAAGTTCTTCGATGACAACGTCTTCGTCGCCAACTCGCTGGTGGATTTCTACGCGAAGTGTGGCAGCATGGCCGATGCGCGAGCGGTGTTTGATGGGAGAGCTCGAAGAAGAAGAATCTCCTCGCCGGTTCCATGGAACTCGATGATCCTGGGATACGCGGCCAGCGGCGAGAATGAGCTAGCTCTCGAGCTCTTTGCGTCCATGAGAGCTGAAAGAGTAGCGATGGATGCTAGGACTTACGTCGCGGCTCTCTCGGCGTGCTCGAATATGGCGGCTCCCCAATCTGGAATAGCGATCCACGCGGAGATCTGCCGGCAGGGACTCGAGAGCCGGGAGTTTGTGGCGAGCTCGCTCGTGGATTTCTACGCCAAGTGTGGGAAGATGGGCGCTGCTTGCCAGGTCTTTGATTCGATCGCCACGAAGAGCACGGTGTTGTGGAACGCGGTGCTTGCTGGCTATGGCTGCCAAGGAGATTCTTCCCGGGCACTGGAAACTTTCCAGAGAATGGTCGATGAAGGCATCGAGCTGGGGAGTGTGACGCTTCTCTCGATCCTCACTGCGTGTAGCCGTGCTGGCCTGGTAGAAACTGGCAAGAAAATCTTCGCGCGCATGGAATTCCAGCCTCGAATCGAGCACTACCAGTGCATGATCGATCTTCTCGGGCGCGCGAATCGCTTGGAGGAGGCTCTAGCAATGATCCGGAGCATGCCCTACGACGCTACAGTGGTGTCGTGGACGACGCTGCTTGGAGCCTGCGAGAAATGGAAGAATGTGGAGATTGGAGAGCTCGCATTTCGATCGCTAGTGAGCTTGGATGAGAATCACGGCGCAGCGTACACATTGATGGCGAAGATTTTGGCTGGATCGGCAGGAATTCCTCCTCCTCGCGGGAAATCGCAAGAACTAGTAAGAAATATTTCCACCAGGTATAAACCCTAAACGAAGGCCTGTTGGAATGCATGCTTGGGGCGATGGCGCTCTAAATGCCGCCGGCGACTGGCGCTACAAGGGAGAAGGCGCATCCAATGTCGTGCTCGACTATCGTGGATCGGATTCACAGCTCGTAAGTCTGGATTTCTTTCTTTCTCGGGATTTCGATAGAATGCCGCCAAGCGAGCTTCTTCCATGCAGCTTGGAACAGTGCTGAGGATCCGGAAGGCGCCACTGCGAGAGAATGGAGGGGGGTGCGCTCCTGTTCTCTCCGATCTGGAGAGAAATCTCTGGAAAGATTGGCCTGCCGTGGCGTCCTCGAGCAACGAAGAGGAATTGCGCCACGTATACGTGAGAGATGTGATGCGGCCATTGCTGGGTGAGGACTACGTTGATTCCGGGGTGTGTGTTCTCTACTAAGATTTTTCTTTCTATCCTTTCTCATTCTTCTCGAGAGATGAGATGCGTCTTACGCGAAGTTTTTTTCTTCCAGGTAATCGTCCCAGTGTCGAGAAAGTTTTTGGAGGACGTTTCTCAACACATTCGAGCAAATCGACCAGCATGGAGAGCTGAGGAAGCCGACCTGGATTTTTCCAGCAAGAACGTTCTTGCCGTGTGCGACCACACCTTGTTTCCAGGTTTGTTTCATTGCTTGGTGTTTGACTTGGAGAGTTCTAAGTGCACCATCTCTTTTCCAGGCGTGAGAGCGAATGAATCCGACTCTCCCACCTTGTCTATCGAGATAAAGGTCTGGTTTCTTCTTTCTCTTGTGGTTTTAGTGATGGCCAGGCTTTTTTTTCAGCCCAAGTGGGGATACTTGCCACAGTCCGATGCCATTTCAACCGAAAATCACGTGAAGAAGGTGGTTTCCCGCTTCGCAATGCACCAGCTTCTCAAGTTCGTTCAAGGCAAGGTATGCAAAATTGATTCTTTCACCTAGCTAGTATGAACTTCTTTCTTCTTTTGTCTACAGATACGAAGCTCTAGCTCTTACTGCCCGCTTGACCTCTTTTCTGGAACGCGCGATGGAATAATCAAGGCTTTGAACGCCTTGTTCAAGAGTCCTCAGAACAACTTACGGGTTTTCAAAGACGGCAACAGGATCTTCACTGGAAGTGTAGACGGTGCACAGGACTCGACTGACAGCAGTGCGAGCCGTGATCTTCTAGAAAGATCTCTGGTGGACTTCACGGATTCTGTGACGGGCCAAAGGTTGGACGTACTCGAGAAGCTGATAGCGGAGATCTTGCACAGCAGCGAGACCCTGAGGAAGCTGTTGCAGACACAACAGCTTGACAGTTTGGACATTGAAGGCGTCATACACCTGTACTATAGCTTCGTGGGGTTGCACTGCCCGGAGTGTGGATCCGACAAAACAGGATGCTCCATCGATTCGGACGTTGACAAGCGATCCGTTTTATTCGCAAGCCACCACTCCATGCCAGCCGATGAGCAAAGACGAAATCTCTGCAAGTTTCTTATAGCCGCCACTGCGAAGGATTGCAGCCTCATGGTCACCTTAAAGCCGCTTGACGATTCCATCGTTGCGTCGTCCGTGACCAGGAGCATCATCTCTTGTCCAACGACTGGAAGATCTTACGTCTACAAGGTATAGTCTTTACTCCCCATGATGAGAGTCATTTGACAAGCTTTACTCCGCAGATATCATTCTTGGATCTGGATTTGAAGCGGCTGGACAAGATCCCTCACTACTTTCGCTTGGACCAAAGCATTGTCAAGTTCTATGCAGAGCACACTACATGAGACTAGGCCAGTCGAATCTTTGAATAACTGTGAGTTTTGGACGACCTTCTTTTCTCACATTGCCTTTTCTCCTTTGCTTTCAGAAAGTATTTAGGGGTTAAGAGAGCGAGAGGCAAGGGAAGCAGCAAAAAAGCTGAAGAGGTAAATGGCCGCCAGTGCTACCAATGCTTTCAATGGCACTGCCTGGCGGAGCGTCCGCTCGAGCATTCGCTACTGGGCCGCGGAGCACCCGCCGGTTGCCAGATTCCGATGGGACTTCAACACCTTCGGTGCGTCGTGGACGTTCCTGGTCGCCTCCGTGCCGCTCTACCTCTCGCTCGTCCTGCTGCTCAAGCTCCTGCTCAGCTTCCGCAAGAGGCCGGTTCCATTGGGTCCGGTGCCAGTGCTGCACAACATGGTTCTCGTGGTGGGATCTGCGGCCATGTTTATCGGCTGCCTCCAAGCTACGGTGATTGAGATCCAGGAGAACAGGTGGCTATGGAACAAGAAGAAGGGGCTCAACTGGCTACTGTGCTTCCCGCTGGGGACGAGATCCGTGGGGAGGGTCTTCTTCTGGTCCTACGTTTACTACCTCAGCAAGTTCTACGAGCTGCTCGACACCGCTATCCTCATCCTCCGCAAGAAGCCGCTGACGTTCCTCCACGTCTTCCACCACTCGACCGTGATCGTGATGTGCTTCTTTTGGCTCCAGTTCACGCAGTCGCTCCAGGTGATCGCGCTGCTCACCAACACCGGCGTTCACGTCGCCATGTACACGTACTACTTGCTGTGCAGCCTCGGACTCCACCCGCCATGGAAGAAGATGGTGACCAACTTGCAGATCTATCAGTTCCTCTTCAGCTTCGTGGTGTCGCTGGCGATGATGGTGCTCCATTTGGGGGGCGAGGGCTGTGCTGGGATCGGGGCTTGGTCCTTCAACTTTGGTTTCAACATCATCCTGCTCATGCTCTTCGCGAATTTCCACTCGCAGCAGTACGGGAATGCCAACGGCCAGGGAAAGAAGAAGAGGATGTAGCAGCAAGTAAGCCATCTCTTTCCTTTCACTATAGCTCAGTAGCTCTGTAGAGCTACGCTCTCTCTCTCTCTCTCTCTCTCTCTCTCTCCAGCTATTCTTCCAGCTCCATCGTTCCTTTTTGTTCTTCGCTTTTTCTCTTGGAAAAGAGCGATGATCTCTTCTTGAAGTTGGATGGTTTACGCAATAGCTTGCTCGTCACCTCTGCCTGGATCTAGTCTACCGCCTCGTAGCTTCGCTGATGGCACCCCCACGACTTTCCACCAGAACAAGATGATCGAAGCCTATGGAAAGTGTGGAAGGCTCGAGGATGCTCTCGACGTCTTCCACGCCATTCAAGACAAAGATTCCTTCTCCTGGAACCTAATGCTCGCTGCCTTGTGCCGCGCCGGGGAGCTCAAAAATGCCAGGGCCTTGCTGGATTTTATGCCAGAGAAAGATCTGGTGTCGTGGAACACGATGCTCGCGGCATACGCCCAAACTGGGCATCTTGGTCTAGCCGAGGAGATCTTTGCCGCAATGCCGTTTTGGAGCCTGGCCACGTGGAATGCCATGCTGGCAGGGTACGCAGAGAACGACCAGCTGGACCAATCCCAGCGCGTCTTTCGGGCAATGCCGGAAAAGAATCTGGTAACGTGGACTGCCTTGGTCACAGCACTTGCCAGGAACGGGCATTTGGAGGATGCGGCGTCTGTGTTTGGAAATATGCCAGTACGGAACGTGGTGTCGTGGAACGTTATGCTCTCTGCGTACGGACAGAACTGGCAGTTGGAAAAGGCCCAGGCCGTGTTTAACAAAATGCCCGAGAGGAGTTGCAAGAGCTTCAATGCGATGCTCTCGGCATATGCCGTGTATGGGCATATGGAAGAGTCGAAAGCGTTGTTTGATGGTATGCCACAGAGAGACATTGTGAGCTGGAATGTCCTGATTGCGGCGTATGCTCAGAATGGTTACGTTCTTCGTGCTCGAGAGATGTTTGAAAAGATGCCCGAGAGGAATCTTGTGTCGTGGAATTCCATGGTCTCTCTTTATGCCGACGCTGGAAAAATCCAAGAAGCGGAGGCTTTTCTCGATAGCATGAGCGAAAGAAACGTAGTTTCGTTTAACGCGTTGCTTTCAGCATATGCCCAGAACGGGCAACTTTTGCGAGCCAAGGACCTGTTTCGGGAAATGCCGTACCACAGCATGGTGTCGTGGAACGCCGTACTGTCCGGGCATGCACAAGACGGAAGGCTTGACGACGTGGTCTCCCTGTTTCGTATTATGCCGTACAACAACCACGTGTCGTGGAATGTCCTCGCGACGGCAAACGCCATACAGGGAAATCTCGAAGAGACAAAGAGAATCTTCGATGGAATGCCACAGCATGATCCGTACTCTTGGAATCTAATGTTGTCGGCTTTCGGGGAGAAAGGCTATCTGGAAGACGCGAAAAGAGTTTTTTACGCGATGCCAGTGAGGAACACAGTGTCGCTGTGCGCGATGATCTCTGCATATGCCCGAAATGGGCATCTTCACCAGGCAAAGGAGTTGTACGAAACCATGCCGAGGAAAAGCCTCTTTGCGTCTTGCTCCATTGTCACTGCTCACGTCGAGAATGGACACCTCGAAACAGCGGCAAAGATCTTCGATGCGATGCCCGATAACGATGATCCGGTTGCCTATGCAGCGCTGCTTGGAGCTTACGCTCAAAATGGACACTCGACTCAAGCGTTCCAGCTCTTCCACCGGATAAGTTTGATCGACTCACACTCACACCAGCAAGCGAATCTCACGTCGATTCTCATCGCTTGCACGCACAAAGGCAAGCCGATCCTTGGGAGGAACTGGTTTGCGTCGATGAGACAAGACTATGGCGTGGAGGCCACCAAGCAGCACTATTGCTGCATGGTCGACTTGCTCGCTCGAGCTGGATACCTGGATGATGCCAGGGATTTAATCGGTACCATGCCGTATGTTCCAGACATCTGGGAATGGACGAGCTTCCTCGGATCTTGCAGAAGTTACCGAGTCCATCGTCACGGAGCTTTTGCTGCAAAGAACTTGCTACATGGATCAAACTGGAGCGACGAGGCTCCGAGTTATCTCCTGCTCGCAAGCGTGATCGGAGGTGACAGTGGAGGAAATCATGATACTTAACCGTGATCGTCTCCACGAGACGAGGTGATGTTTCTAGCCATCACGTAAGCTCTCGAGTTTTGTGGATCCAGCTCGATCAACCGCTGGGCTGCGAGATAGGCACGGTCTTGGTCACCGTGGAATCGGCTGGCACCAAGAACACACGTCCACTCGAGAACGTCCGCTACAAAGGGCATGGTTTCGACGAGCTCCACAGCCGAAGCCAAGTGACCAGAGCGGGCAAGCAAGTCGACCACGCAACAGTAGTGTTGTTTCGTGGGAGTGAGACCAAAATCCGTGACCATGGAGACGAAGTGGCACATTCCATCGTAGAGTTTTCCTCCGTGGTTGCAAACTGGAAGAACTAACGCGAAGGAAACTTGGTCTGGAAGTTGAGTGAGCCTTTGCAAGTGGAAGACGTGAAGAGCATCGTCAAGGAAGCCATTGTGGTGGTAAGCTGCGACCATTGCACTGTGAAGAACAACGTCGGGGTCTGGGCTTTCATCAAAGATCTGTCTCGCCTGTTGGATCTTTCCGTGCCGAGCATAAGTGACCAGCATTGTCGTCCATGACACTGTATTCTTGTAGGGGATTTCAAGCAAGGTTTTCTTGGCATTGTGGATACATCTCGCCTGAGCAAACGCTGCTAGCAAGCAGTTCCATGAGATGGTGTCTCGAACGGGCATTTCCCGAAACATTTGCTGGGTCTCCTCAAGATATCCGTTTTGAGAGTACGCAGTGAGCATCGAGTTCCAGGAGAGAGCGTTTCTTTCCGGCATAATTTCGAAAACTCTTTTGGATTTGGAGACAATGTGATGTAAAACATAGGCATTCAGCATTGAGTTCATGGTGACAAGGTCGCGCTCGGGCATGCTAAAGAAGATAGTCTCAGCTTTATTAATATGCCCATCTTGGGCAAATGCTGCAATGACGGTGTTCCACGAAGTTATATCTCTTTCGGGCATTTCGTACAGCATTTTTTCTAAATTATATTGTAAAAATGACGATGCAAAACAATCTAACATAGAATTGTAAGAAACTATGTTTCTCTGAGGCATATCACAAAAAGCCTTCCATGCTTTGTCCCTATGCCCGTTTCGGGCATAGGCTCCTAACAAAGACGTCCACGAGATAACGTCGCGCTCGGGCATCTCAATAAACAGACCATCTAATTGATCCACATTCTGGCAAAAGGCTGCGAGCATTGAGTTCCAGAGGATCAAATCCCTGAGAGGAGCCTCATCAAACAACCTCTTTGCGTCATCAAGATACCCAGAATGGGCATATGCAACGAGCAAAGTTGTCACGACCATCAGAGTTTTAACCGGCAGCGAATCAAAGAAGCCCTTGGCATCCTCAATTTTGTCGTTTCTGGTGTAGACGATGAGCATCTGGTAAGAGGTGTGATCACTTACCACTGCCATGGATTCATAGACTGATCTAGCATCACCGACGCTGCCACATCTTCCAAACATGTCGATGAGCCTGTCATGCACAAATGCATCGTCACGTCCAAGACAAGATTGGAGACTGGTGTAGATCTTCGTGGCTGCTCTAAGGCTGGAGCATGATTCTATGAGCTCCAAGCAAGCACTTCTGCTAAAATCCTTCATTCCGCTACAAAGGACTTGCATTGAAATGAAACGTCAACTAAAGTCAACTAAATGACCATTATTGACGATTCCATTAAAAATTGACTTGCATTGGCAGTTAATGCATTTTTGCTGCCGCTTTTTGAGCCAGATACAAGCTTGCCAAGCGAGGAGACTCGATTCCTCTTGGCTCAATGAATCCTAGAGTCTCATTCCCAGTGCTTCCCAGCGATTGTATCGTGTTTCCAATGGCCCAGTTTGCTGCTTGTGGAGGTTTCACAACTTCCAACACTTTGGTGTGACAGTTCCACACAACACTAAATCCAGAAGTATAGCCATGATGTTTGTATGGCCTATTGCGCAGGCTGATCGTCCCATTTTCAAACTTCATGCTGTCATACAGGATCCCAGTTGCAAAATGAGCGTGAGGCTCCGCGTGTGAGCTCCCATATGCGGTGCTGTTAAAGAAAACATTTGGACCATTTGCTTGGTCCCGGGTCATGTAGCTGAACTGGGAGCTTCCTCCTTGGATGACGCTGTTCTTGACGAGGATCTGGGAGCCTGGAAAGGCAATGGCGAGATCAGCAAATTTTGGACCTTTCATCGGGCCCGGAATAGTCCGGATGAGATTCAAGCCCTCGACTGTGATCCTCTTTCCAGTGACAGTCATGGTATCGCCTCCAAAGTCGACAGCCACGACATTTCTCACCCAAGAGTCCTCCACCTGAGCGATGTTGAGAAAGGTGCCACGGCCGACAGGGAGAACTTTGTCCTGGACAGCCTTGAAGTTCTCGAGACCGACGTGGGATACTCGTCCAGAGATCTCCACCTTGACCAAATAAGCCGGCTGTGACGAGCTCAGGTACCTGAGATCAACACGAAATGGAACCGGGATGTCGAGAAACACCATGTTCTTTTCGCCGTTAACTCTGGAAACTCTGCGCTCGATGGAAGTAACCGCAAAGTTTCCCCATCTCTCGCTCATATTCATCATCTGGATCCACCTGGAAGTCATCGGCCAGACGATCGAGACGAGATCGCCGGGTTTGAATCCACAAGACGAGTCGAGCTTCACATAGTTAGAACCGGAGGGAACAGTCTCGACAATAGCAGCTCTGTGACCAACCTCTGTGATGGTTTGCTGTGGACTCTCGACTGAGAACAAAGCGTGGACGTCCATGCCATCCTCGGCTATGGAAACATTTGCGTGGAGGATGGTTTCGCTACTGCTGCTCCCGGTGATGAGAATTCCACTGGTGTTGATGGTGAAGTGGTGGCCTCGAACGTCGAAATTTCCACTTGAGAGCTGGATTGCTCCCCGGAAACCTGTGCAGGGATCGAGTGGCAAGGAGGAGAGCTCGTTGATGGCATGCTGGATGGATTCACCGTCGCTCTTGTTGGTGTCTTTACAGTTGCGAGCAGGATAGAGGACAACTTTCACTGGTACCTCTGGCAGTTTGGCATCTCTTCCCAAGTATCCCACCGACGAAAAATCCATGATCGTGTCACCTGCATTGGTGGGTTTGTAGACGAGTTTGCTGGTGTTGGCGTCAAGAGATACCCAGTAGATTGGAACGCCTTGAGTTACATGTAGGCAAGAAAATATTGCGATCATGAAGAGCACAGAAAGAGCCATTTTTGCTCGAGCTTCCCTGATTTTTTCTCTTTGATTCATAGTTCGTACAGGAAATGATATAGTCACTCTTGCTTTGGACTTTAGCCTGGAACTAATGACAACGTCATGTCTGATGAAAAGATCGAGACAAAATGCAGGCCAAGTGAGAAAGACTTTTAACTTAACCATCATTTTCAAAGTGATGAAACCTCGTCGTACATGTGGAATAATTTTCCTCTTGGAGATTCTGGAAATGGATTGTGTCGTGGAATGCTCTGGACCAAACTGGCAATTGAAAAGGCTTAATCTTGGGCAAATGCTGCAATGACGGTGTTCCATGATGTTCTATCCTGTTCGGGCATTTTGTAAACCATTACTTCTAAATAGAGGACGAATCATGGCATCTCGCGAGGTCCAGAAAAGAAATCTTGATTAATAATCTGATTATTAGCTGAAGGCTATAAACACGATCACTAACACCAGCTATTTACTATTAGTAATGGGATTCAAACCCATGCCCTTGCAGACTAGTACCTGAAACTAGAGGCTTAGATCAACTCGAAATTGTACAAATGCATTTTCACATCCAAGGTTTATCATTGTTAGCACTTGATTGAAACCAATTTCTTTGTAAACTGACTATGCCTACAGTGGATAAAGTGTAAGAAAACCAACTATGTCTACTATGGACAGTGATTATTGAACATTTTATTTGATCTAATTGAATTATAAATTTATCATTTGGTAAATTGATTAATCAATTCATGAGCTTATATTCATGAGTTGATTTATCACTTCATGATGTTTCTGGGTTGCCTATATTTAAAATTTTGAACTAAATATAGTTATTAATATATCTAGCTATTTTTCTTATTTTAAAATTAACTAATATCAATATCAAGTATTGAACCTTAATTCTACTGTAAAAACCTAAATAAAACCACTTATTCATAGGGGTTTAAATATAAAGGGAAAGGGTTTATAGAAAAAAATTAATCTTTTCTAATGCATTGTGCAGAAATGACAATCTAATGGACAGTCTAGATATTATAGCATCGTTGCTTGATACTCACTTGGAATTTAAAATTGAAAAAGAGAATTCAAAGCTCAGATAGGCTAAAAATATTTGGAAGATTTTGCATGATCAATGAGTTCCTTCCACTTCCATGACTAATATCCAGCTGCATCACAACAAAAGAAGACTATGAACTTGAAAGTCAAATTAAAAGATATTTAGGGTTAAGTGTATTAATTTTAAATAGTATTGGGTTGAGTTACGATACTTGAGGTTAAATGTTCTTAAATTTGAATAGTGACCTCTTAAGAAGTATAAATTTAAGAATTTACACTACTAAGATGTGAATGCAACCTATAAAAGCCTTAAGGAAAGAATACTAGCCAGAAAAAAAAGCACCATAAAGCAAGATATTTATATGAAATGTTACAAGCCTTAAACCAACTCCTCTCTACACTCTAAATATTAAACACAACATCCCAGCCACAAATGCTTAATTGCAAGTCACTTTAAGCATTATTAAAGATCCTTTCACACCACCTAACCACCTCACCTCCAAACCTTATACCATGAGTTTTTTTGTTTCCTAACATTAAATAACACAACTATATCACTCTATAGCCATCTTGGATGTAATGTTTATTACATTCTACACACCTATTTGATGTTATCTTTTGCATGCCTAAAGGTTGAAGTCTTGCTTTACTTCTTCAGCCCTTTATAGAACCTTCACCATCATACTTGGAAACTTAACCAAAGTGAAGTAGTTGGTCTAATAATTCTCCAGTATTTTAAACTCTATGATTTATAATAAATTCACCAATAAACTATTATGATCAATCAACTATTGAATTGATGAAACAAATCATCAATTATCAAAGCATTCATTGATCAATTAAATCATGAACTGATCAATCAACTCATGATTTGATCAATTTATAATTCAATTTAACTATAATTGATCAATAATCAAGCACACTTTTTCCACTATAGCCTTCTTTACTGGATAATTCAGCAAGATGGCTTGGTGTTGCAAAATGTTTAAGAGTGTGTTCATTCACACATTGGCAATTTCATTTTTAGACAGCTGAATTTCTTATTGAAAAGCTGATAGATAACACTTGAATCAGTTGTAACTTATCATGTCATGATACAAGCCTGCCAAGAATTGCGGGACTTGTTTGGGTTGGGCAGAATTAGGTACCCAGGCGAAAAATGGGCCCCTTGCCCTAGTGGGCTTGCAAGAGTTTTGTAAACTCTAGAACCAAGATGGAGATCTTAGTACAAACAAAGCAAGTGAAGATTGAAAGGCTTCGGAATGCACTTCTTGCTTGCTGTGGAACTATGGATACAATCCTTCAGGAGGAGGAAGAGGAAGAGGCGGAATCCAGCCGGCACTCTTCGGCAGACGAGAGCTCCGATGACGAGGTACGAATGGTGCTTAATACCAGTGGATTCTTTTGCACAGGAGAACCACTACGCAAGTTTTGCTCAATGCTCAGTGCTTGGGCCCTGGGGCTGAGCTAGAAGTGAGAAAGTTGTGGATCTCTGCTTGTGAGCATTTGTTTTGAACAGCAACAACAACTGACCAGTTGTTTTGAAGTGCAAAGAACAATGTCCCTTCATTGTATGCAACAGTTTGTTTTAGAAATTCATCACATCTGGCAAATGCATAGTTTAACTACAAGACTTCACAATTGTATCTTTCACCAACCAATCCACTCTAATCTTCATAGGTATTACTTTATTCTCTTCTTTTCCTTCTGTTGAATCACTTTTAGTTCTTGTTCAACAACAAAAGCATTTGTAGATTGTGGTGGCTTCTTCACATCTTGCCCAGAAACATCTTATAATGATGGCACAACACGCTGGACAATGGCCTTCCTCATGCCTCAAGTCTTATGCTAAACCTCCCAAGGTTGTGATCTTGTGAGAGAAATGATACCAATCAAATTAATTGCTATGGCAAGTTTCACCTGCGGAAGTATCTCCACAGTTATAAGTACCATTGGCTGCTTGGATAAAAAATGTCAATGGGGAACTCTAGATGTGTGATTGGCTTGGATTGGTCTTTAGAGTTTAGTTCTGTTAGGTTGATTTTATGTATACTGTTCTAGAAGGAATAGGCCAGATTACTTGACATATGAGAAAAAATTGGTATGTAAGGATATGTCAATATGGTCATTACCCTTAATTTATTAACTTAAGTTTTGAAGAATTTTCGTAAGTTTAAAACTTAACCCCCTGTTTACCTTAAAGTGTTTTGATTCATACTTTAACAAACCCTTGTTGAATCAAGTCTCCCCCTCTAACTCCCATCTTTCAAGCTCCAAAGCCCCACAATTCATGTGGGATTTTGATTGGTCCCAGAATTTTTCACAAGTTTTCGCA